ATGTATCAAAATAAAGTGTAAAATATCTCGAAAACTATTGGTTTTTTGGTATCTCTACCTTAATACTTTTATATGCAAAATAATTAGAGGAATCACGTTATCTAAAAAAAATTACATAATTCCATTTTAAAAAGTGGAGGTGACCTTATTCATATCTTTTTAGCGCCTCCACCAAAAAAAGAATTATTGACATCACATTATGTGCCCCTCGAAACCAAGCAACTTTTGTTTGACACTTTTTCTTCTATTGTCAAAAACAAGCGAGTTATTCAGGTGACCTATTTTAAATGCCCCTCCCTGTATATATTTTTATTTTCGATCTATTCTCCCTCATAATTAAAACGAGTGTGAAATTAACGTAAAAAAATCACTTTATAAACACTAAAATCTTTAAAAAGATATTATATATATTTTTTTTTAATAATTTTAAAAAAAGGTATATTTATAAAAAAATAGTCTTTCATTTATGTTACTGATAAAAAATATTTAATATTCTTTGACAAATTATTCAATCCATTAATAAAAATTTGATTAGTTTAATAATTATATTATTCTAATATTTAAACGAATGATTTTTTAAATATAGATTAAAACTTAAATCTTGATTATATAAAGAAAACTGGAATTGTATCACATTTCTTTTTAAACATATACTTAAAAATACGATAGATCAAATAACTAAAGAGAATTTAAATAAAAATTTTTGATATTTAATTTTTTATAAAACTATCTTACATAAAGCTTATCCAAAAAAACAATAAAATACCAATTTGAGCCGATACAAGTTATCAGTGTGTATCTTTATATATAAAATTTATTCAAAATGAACAATAATAACGTATTTAATATAAAGTTTATATAATAAACATTATCGTAACACGATTTGATGTCATTTTGTAATATTTAATTATGGATAATAAATACATACAAAAATCAACGGAATCAAATAACGTAAATATCATTTATTTTTGCCGACAAGATTATCTTTAGAGTACCTGAAGTCCTAAGGTATACACTACCTCAATAATACAACTCCAATAACATTCCACTTTTGATGCTTCTTTACATCTCTATAAAGCCTTCAAAACCGCATAATTCGATATTAAGATCTGATTATGTAACACATCAAAGCCTAGAAGTAGCTTAACATAACTATATTTTACATACAAGAAGTAATCTTTTAATCATCAAAAGAGATTTTATTTTGTTGATATCTTATTTCATCATTATACAATATAAATTGTCTTATTTGCCTAATATTATATCCCATACATATCCCATACATTTTCGTTTCAAGAAAAAAAGGAAATAAGAAAAGAGAGAAATTTCAGAAGGCATTTTGGAGTAATTACACACATTGTACTAAAACTATCTTAAATGTTGCAAAAGTAAATTTTTATTTTAATTATAATGTCGATATATAAGAAAGTTCTATATAGTTAAGACAAAATTAAATACTTAGATTAATTTATTAAAATTCAATGAAAATAAATAATAAATATAGGTATATTCTATATAAATATATATGCTCAATAAAAAATAGATAGTATATTATAAAGAAACATGAAAATCTTCAACAACAATTGTAACATACACAGTACTATTATTATTTACAATATGTAAACTACTTGTTAAAGTATTATACATAAAATAAAGAAACTAAATTAAAATGAAATTTATAATAAATATTTAATCAACTCTCAAAATAAATTTAAAAGTTTTTGTTGTTATTATGTATATATATAGTGTATTATATTTGTGTTATATTTATTATATAAAGCGTAGTGTTATAGTTGTGTGTATGTGTACTACACACACACACATTATATAAGTATATACATATATATAATATATATTATATATTTTTGTGGTATCTAGTTTTGTGTATATTCTTGACATTTTATTTTTCATATAAAACTCAATTGTTTAAAACTTTGCCTAAATTGTACATTTATTTAAATTTTAAAATATTTAATTTTATAATAATATTATAAATTATTATATGTATATATACATTTATTACTTATAACATGTATAAAAAAACAGAAACGGGTTATCGCCGTGGTCCATTACTAATGTTTCATGATTTTTGACGTTCATTTCAAGGCGAGAAGCGTACTGAAACAGTATCAGGTTCACGAAATATTGGTTGCATTCAGCAGAATATTCATTTTTTAATTGTTAGAAGTTTTCTTCTCACGTTGATTAAATTATATTTTTAAATCTGAAAATATAGTCCAATCAGGATGAAGAAAACTTCCAATAGATGCAAAATAAATATGTTGCTGAATACGACTATTAGCATTAGCAATAAATCACGACACGGCGATAATTCGCAAACCCTTTGGCATCTCTGAAGAAAATACCATAAAAACGTAAAAAATATATGTAAAAAAATTATATGACGTAACAGATAAATTATTTGAAAACAGAGAAGGTAGGGAAAACAAATTTTACATATTTATATTATAAAAATTTTTTAATATATGTAAAAAAAAATCAAAATCATTTCATAAAATTTTAACATAAAACAATCGAAAACATATTTTCATTATTATTTTCATTATATAACTATATTTTATACACCAGTTGCTAAAGTTCTTTTATTCTTACATTTTACATAATAAAATGTAACAGGAATATTGTTGTATGACTGCATGTGTGAGCGCGCGCGCAATGGATTACGACACAGCGATAACACTCACACGCACACACTTAATCAACGTTACATTTTTAGAGCTCCTGTTGATTCACTATTACTATCATATATTGTGATGTCAAAAGAAAATAAATAATAAAAGTTCTTCGAAAATACATAATATTAATATAAAAATATGTTTTAATAAAACAACACTTACGTATAATCGATAGAACTTATTATTCATATAATCGATCGACTTGTAAATTTTATACTAAAAATTCTCCTTTTTATTTCAGTAGTTAATAAATATCCATGTATCTGGAAATGAATTATGAATAACAAAAAAATAAAATAAGCTATGTTTACAACTGTTAAATGACACAAACTGTTAAATTAATAAAATATAGAAATAAATATGATTTAATCTTTTCTCGAAGACAAGAAGTTTTCGATATTTTATAAACCTATCTTATCAATGGTAAATGATGTTTAACTGAAAAATGTTTCTTTCAAATATAATTTAGAAAAATTTTTATTATGTATTTCCTTGCTTTTATAACGTTGCAATCTGAAATAATAACGAACAGGAACTTTACATAAATACTGTTTAAATATTTAAGAATAATTACTGGAAAATAATATTATATGTTATAACATTATCAAGAGACACAGTAATATCAAATGAACAGTCTATCTTTTTATGATATAGGTATGTACACCGGCCGCGCTACACCATACACACGCGCACATATGCACTCACTCACTCACTCACTCACGCACGCACGCACGCACGCACGCACGCACGCACGCACGCACGCACGCACGCACGCACGCACGCACGCACGCACGCACTCATTCACGTACACAAATAAGTTAATATAAATTATATAAAAATTATTGAATTTAAGCTGCAGTAATATATGCAGCATGACATTCATTGTTATCGTATTGTCTGAGACATATGCAGTGGCGTTAACATTAACTCAAAAGCAGCATCTTTTAAATTTGCACCGCGCAAATTTGCATCTTGTAGATCAGAACCAGATAAATCACAGCACTAAAAAAAATAGCATGGATATGTAAGTACATATAGGTATAATAGCAAGAGAAGAAAATTGTAAAGAATGTATTAAAATAGTTTTTAGTTTAAAATACAGTATAACGAGATAAAAATACCTCTAAATCGGCACCGGCTAAAACAGCTGATCTCAAAATGCAATTCCTAAGAATAGCATTCTTTAATGTAGCTACTCGGAGGTTGACGGCTGCCATGTTACTGCCTTCAAGATTTGCACCTTTCAAGTTTACACCTTCCATATTTGCTGATAGACCACCAGGATCTTCAAAATTACACGAATGCAGATTGGCTGCAGCTAGATTTGCACATGACATTTTTACGCATACAAGTTGTGCACCTTGCAAATTGGCATGGGATAAATCAGCACGTTCAAAGCAACATCCTGATAAATTAGCACCTGCCAGACTACAGTGATGCATAATGGCGTACTATAATATGATAGAAAATACGTAAATAAAGTTATAATTTTTTATTAGAATTATTTTTATCGTCTAATTTGGTCAATAGCGCATAATGCAATTTTTCATGATCACATGTATACACCTTAGAGAAATTCTATAAACTAATTGTAAGCGTTACATCTGACGATTACATTGAAGAATCGCATATAATCTAATGCAAAAAATGGCATTATACTCCATTAGCTCATATTCTGTCCTTTACATTATAAAAGTAAACGTACCTTAAAGTTAATATTTCTAAGATCTAATTTCGAAAGATCGGCTCTTACAAAATCAACTCCTTGGAATCTAAGTTCTGCGTTAATTGGTGTAGACATAATTGCCTTAAGTACATCTTTGCGAGTTAGAGATATAAGACCCTCTTTTTGCAGTTCTTCTTTTTCTAACATTGTAGTAAGGATTCGAATAGCGCCTTCAATACCATAAAAACAAGCTTCTGCTAAAACTCCTGTATCAAAACATTAGTCTTATTACAATGAATAAGTTAGTCGTATAAAAACATTAATAAGATTCATATATACCAGCTACGTTAACATTAGAATCAAGTATCATTTGACCATGTCTCAAGTAATTTAACAACGGTTCAAAATAAGTAGGACTTCTATCAATCAAATATGCTCCGCTATGATCCTGTCTACTTGGTTGTATAGCATGTTCACTATTTTCAGTTTCTGTAAACATTCTACATAAAATGCATTATATTATTACATTATATTAATAAAACGGTTTTCTTTTTTCTTATTCATATCCTTTAACATTTAAATTTGATATTTAACTATTATATAGTTTTCTATACTTAAATTGTTGCAAACTGTAGACACTTCATTTATATTCAACTTCAGCTTTAAATTAACCAATGTTAGTTGTTAAATTGTAATCAATTGGTAAGAAAACGTGTTATGAAAAGTATTGATACTGAATCAATGTAGAATATTTGTGTGAGTAAATCATTTTATTGTTTAAAAAATATCGAAAATATAAAAAATCGAGATATAATGTTCAACTTTGAACTCTGTGCGCGCTTGCATACACACACACATACATTTAACTGTATACATTCGTCCTAATATATTATAAACTAATTATAATAAAAAAGATAATATACCTTGCTAACATACTCATAGGTTCTTTTTTAGTCAAGGTATTCCTAGTTGTGGTAAAATATTTTCCTCCAACATTCAGTGTAATCCATTCTGAATTTTTACTTAGTTGATTATGATTCAAAATCTTATTTGTATGTATAAAATTTTCCCCATTTGAAACATATAAAATATCATCGTCTCTGCAAAGGATTCAATAATATTTTATCAATATTCAAAAATTTTAATGCATTATTACGCATAAACAGAATATAAAAGTAAATAAGTTTTTTACCTAATAAGCTTAATGTCATCAATTTCACCACCTTGCGACGTAAAAATTCTCTTTGCAGCTATTTCAAATTTTGCGCTAGCTGCCGTTAATAATTCATCTAACGAGTGAGTCACTACAAACACCTGCAATAAATATAATGCATATTATAATAAATTACTAAAATTAAATATTTTAATTACACAAATATGAGAAATATAGGTATAAATGTATATTAAGAAAAGTACAAATATAAAAAACTGTAAAAAAATTATATCAGTATAATTTAATACAATAAAAAATATTACAAAATTAAATTAAAAAATTTGTCATAAGAACAATTAATTTCTTTATTCAAGAAAATACTTGAATAAAATTGTTACTCCTTTTAACACTACTTGTTAATAGTACAATAATATAATTTACAACTTCTTGATAAACATATAAACAAATATTATTTAAATAAAAATAAATACGTAAAAGTATTACTGACACAGTTCATAAACAAAACATGAAAGCACTTTTCAATAAAATTAACTTTTGTTAAAATAACATATATTTTATTCACGTTCATATTAGAATTGATATTTTAAAATATAATATTATTTCTATGTTATTTATTTTTTTATTCATAAATTATATAATTTTGACACTAAAAAATATTAAATATCAATTTAAATATAAAATAACAATTATATGTTAAATTAATAATCAAGTATATGTTGAAAAATTTAATACAAAAGTTTAATGAGGATTTGAATGGTCTGTTTTCAATACAAATACGAAATGTTTTTTACTGTGCAGTATTATGTTTCTATTATACTAATATCATTATATTTCTGTACATTTCTATTAATTTTATGTTTTGTAAATCTAACAAACTGTTGTTCAATTGTACATATAACAAGTTATAACTTTCAGTTTATCCTTTGATTGCAAGAATATTAAAAATTAACAAATGTGTGTATTAATATACAGATATAAATGCAGAAGGCTTTCCCTATAAATATAAGTGATGTTATAATTTCATTTTGCTAAATAAAAATATAATTGTCCTTAGTTTCTAATTTATACACATATATATGTGTATAAATGTTAAATAATCAACTTACAAATAATAAAGTAATCATTAAAATGTAATTTAAATATATAATTTTTATTTATATATATTTTTATTTATATATATATGTAATACAAGTAAAACATGATACTTACTTTGCCATTAACATCAGTACCGTTAACAAAAATAATGACTCTCTTCATTGTATAACGACAATTTTCAGTGAATAAACAGTAATTATTATACAGTTTAGCTGCAGCACCTCAAAAATTAATAAAATTAGGGGTTTATACAGTTTAGCTACAGTACTTCAAAAATCAATAAAATTAGGCTTATTAGACGCGTTTTTGAAATCGTGAAACGAAAGAATTTGGCAAAAAAGCGTCGCTCTGCCCAACAAACTGAGACATTAAGCGTTAAAGTTGACGACTTGAGGTTAGGAAATCTGTCAGCCACGCAACACTGCGATAGTACGATGTGAGTGGAGTCTGGAGTAGTGGAGTATGCTCCAATGCGCATAGAGGTTAAAGGTTAAGGTACAATTTCATTCGGCGAAACTTCGCTGACAAATTCCCCCACTCCGACAAGTATGATATGACAAGTGATAACACATCAACACAAACATTATTGTTACAAAGATACGTTTATTACATGTCGCATATTATGTATTCATCGAGTTGGAATACACAAATTATGCATCATTTTGGAAAATTAAAGTCAGCATTACACAGGCAAGTAGCATATAGTATCTTCTCTGTCAGTATTCTTTTGTTGTATTTATTATATTAATCACATATAAATTATTCACTAACGTAATCAGGAGTCAGCTAACCTCGTACGTCCGAAATTCACATCAATCAGTTTCGCAGATTAACAAAATCAACAAGGTCAGTTTTTAGAATGGCTAACTATCACTTAAGACTTAAAAGATACATGCTTATTGTAACATAGGTCTATTTTACAGATTCTGATAGCAAACCGTGGAGAGATAGCATGTCGTATAACAAAAACTGCCAAGAAACTTGGTATAAGGACTGTGGCAGTCTATAGCGAAGCAGACAGAAATTCTATGCATGTGGAACAAGCTGATGAAGCTTATTGTATTGGACCAGCTCAATCTAGCCAGAGTTACCTGCGACAAGACAAGATTATATCAGTAGCCAAGCAGGCAAAATGCCAAGCCATTCATCCAGGATATGGATTTCTTTCAGAAAATACAGAATTTGCACAATTATGTGAAAAGGAGAATGTTATATTCATTGGTCCTCCCGCTAGTGCGATACAAGACATGGGTATCAAGAATACCTCAAAGGCTATCATGACAAAAGCTGGAGTTCCTATTATAGAAGGTAGATGTTTTTCTATCCTAGTATATACTAGTATATACTAGTATTATACTAGGTGTTCTATTTTAACTTTAACACCAAAATATCTTAAAAATTATAAAAAATATGGAAAAATGTTTCAAACAAAAGTTATAGGATTTAAAAAGATCTATTTACTGACCTCTCATATTTATTTGACTGGATAGCATTGCCATGTATATTAAAACAATTTCTAATATTCTAGGATATCATGGTGAGAATCAGACAAATGAAATTCTATTGACAGAAGCCAGGAAGATTGGCTTTCCATTGATGATTAAGGCTGTGCGCGGTGGTGGTGGAAAAGGTATGAGAATTGCTCAGAAAGAATCCGATTTCATTGAGGCATTGGAATCCGCAAGAACCGAATCTGAGAAAGCATTCGGTGATTCGGCAGTACTTTTGGAAAAATATGTTACTGAACCTAGGCATGTAGAAGTACAGATTTTCGCTGATAAACATGGAAACGCCGTTTATCTGTTTGAAAGAGATTGCTCTGTACAAAGGAGACATCAAAAAGTAATTGAAGAAGCGCCTGCTGTACGTATTTTTATCATTGAGATTTACAGAACGATAGAAGAGACTAAAACGATTATATATGACTCTCTTTTACAGCCTGGCATTTCCCAGCAGCTTAGGCAAGAATTGGGCGAAGCGGCTGTTCGTGCAGCTAAAGCTGTAGGATATGTGGGCGCTGGAACGGTAGAATTCATAATGGATCGGAACAATCACAGTTTCCACTTTATGGAAATGAATACGCGTCTCCAAGTAGAACATCCCGTTACAGAAGCAATTACCAATTTGGATCTGGTTGAATGGCAATTGAGAGTCGCAAGTGGTGAAGAACTCCCGTTAAAACAAGAACAGATTAAGCTTAACGGCCATGCATTTGAAGCAAGAATTTATGCTGAAGTAATTGCTATGATATTATGTCTATTTATGTCTTACATAACAAAATAAATGTGTATAAACACAATTTATTATTGAATGGATTTATCGTTGTCGTGATACAGAATCCAAGGAATGGTTTCTTACCAGGAGCTGGTCAGCTTTTATACTTGAAGCCTCCTGAAGCAAGGGATAATGTCAGAGTCGAAACCGGAGTGCGACAGAACGACGAGGTATCTGTACATTACGATCCGATGATTGCAAAATTAGTGGTCTGGGGAAAAGACAGGAACGAAGCTCTTAAAGTACTCACATCAAATCTCAGTGAATATAATGTAAGTAGTGCAATTAAAAAATTGAAAATTCATAAAAAAAACTTATTGCATTATAGATTACACGAGTAAAATAATTATATTTAATTGATAATTGAAATAATTATTTTAATTCGTATCAAAAAAAGGGCAATGAGTCAGGCACGAAGTTAATGCTTAACAAGTTGCAATATATTTTGAAAGAGAATTATACTAATGCACAATATTCAAACATTTTAGCTTACACCAGGTCATCTTTAGTAAACTTAGAAATGAAAACTTACAGTATAATCATATTATATTGTATGTAATAATTTGTTTAAAGCAGTTATTGCTTGCAGATGAAAATACATAGTTTTACTGTTAATATTATTTAAATTTTAATTCTTTAAGCCCCTTATTTAGATATTTACTTTTGAAAAATTATATTTGCAGATAGCTGGCTTAGATACAAACATAGAATTTATCAAAGATCTTTGTGCACATCCGAAATTTCAAAGTGGCGAAGTGCACACAGGATTTATTGAGGAGAACTTTGAACAACTATTTCCTAAATTACATATATCTAACAAAATATTGATACAAGGAACTCTCGCCTTGATTCTGTATGAGGATATGGAGTCGTTAAGTATATCCTTAGAAACAAAGAATCCTTTTACTCCATTTGCTATAGAAACTGGACTGAGATTAAATCATATATTAAGCCGTACTTTTCTCTTCGATGTTGGAAACGAAAATAACTCGGTGGAAGTGAAGTATGTCGAACCAGATGTATATCTAATGAGAGTCAACAGATTAGGATCCTGGAAAAAAGTAATTGGTACCTTGAAGAAGACTAATGGTGCTTTAGAATTGCTTGCAGAAATTGATGGGATTATCACTAAAGCACGAACGGTGAAACTTAATAATAAGTTACACATATTTACGATTACGGTAATCGATTAGTTGCCATAGCGTTTAATAATAACTGTAATATGCTGCATATAGTTCAGTGAGACAATTATATTCATAGGATCGTGAATGGCAACTGGTTATTCCTACTCCCAAATTCGTGACTGCGATTACAAACCAGTCGGAGCAAAATCCATACACGGCTCTAAGCCCAATGCCTGGATTAGTTGACAAAATTTTCATTAATAAGGGAGATGTTGTAAAGAAGGGTGATTCTTTGCTTGTGATTGTCGCTATGAAAATGGAGGTAAATTTATTGAATCTACTTTATTAATGTTAATGTAATATGTATATAATCTAATATTTTTCTATTTGCAGCATATTATTAAGGCCTCCATCGATGGAATGATTGAGGATGTGCTGTGTTCTATAGGTGACACCGTTAAAAAAAATAAGCTTCTTGTGAAATTGGCCAAGTGCTAGGTCATGTGATATACATAAAAGAAAGCACTGATTAAAAATAAAAGCTACTGATAAAAGGATACAGAAGTTATAATTCTCAAATAATTATTGTAGGAAGGTGTATTGTTAATCTAAATGTAAATAAATTATATATTGTTATGTATTTATATATATATATTTTATATAATACAATAAATTTTTTATTACAATAAAATCTACAATAAAATTGACATCTATATTTTGTATATATGATATATTATAAATATATAGTCAATTTTAAAATCTATATATTTGAAAAGAAATATATATTTTTTTAAATTACTAACATATTAAGTTTCAAAGAATCATGGATCCAGAAGCAGGACTGCTCAGTGAGCTTTTTCATCTGATTAGCATATTAGATCTAAAAATATAAACCAAACGGGTACATTTACATTAGGGAAAAAGTTTCATGGATCGATACCTTTCTTGACCAACAGTGCAGTTAACATAATAAAAAATATTTCCCTAGTTCAACAGCCAAGCAACTGATTGGATTATAGGGGGAAAGCTGATGTTGGTAGCAATTTTAAAATACGTTCAAAGCGGTGTTGCAAATTGTGTAGAAAAGTATAATGTAATAATCTCTTGGAGTTCAGAGAATAATAATAAGAATAGTAATTATTTAACTTAGCGTGACATAGATTTTTTTTAAATATGAGTAACTTTCACTCTCCTATGAAATGCATTTCTCCTAACGCGAGGTAAATACATAAATTATTACCCGATGAGGTTAGGACATACTTTATAAATAATGTTCTTTTCTAAATTCATGATAAATTATAACATTACTTGCAGAGTTTTAACGCCCAAGCCGCAGGTACAACAATTATTAGATCTAAGGCAAACTCAGTGTAAAGCCCGTAATAGTATCATATGGTTTTTCATCAACAGTGTACTACTTAGCATCACAGTTTTTGATATGTAAGACCTTTTTCTTTTAAATTATATTTAAAATAAGATAACGATTCTTACAAGCTTGGCTGTTTCTTAGATTTTATGGTGGATTCGCATACAAACCGGTTTATTGGATCGAATGGTGCTTAGCATCGTTATTTGCTTTGAATACTCTGTATCACATTATACAATATACCTGGGCAATTCTGAGTTTGAAACCGATTACGCTGAGCCCTAAACAACGACCGCTTTTAGGAGTATCAGAAGATGATCCTTTATTCAAGGATAAGATGCCTCAGAAGCAGACAACTCCAGAGCCAAGTCCCTTATTGAATTTGTCATGCATAAATCTTAACAGACGATCACCAACTCTTGGATCTTTAGTTCTAAGTGACAGTATGCAAAATATTCTTTTATTGTATTAAAATTAGTCTTAAATTTTATTATGCAAAACAGTTTTTTATATTTTTTATTTCTTTTTTTTTTCAAGAGGATTATTCAGCATCAGTCCCATTTTTTAAATATAGTAATTTTACATCTCCCAAAGCAACTGTGTGCCCCAATGGATCATTCAGTAAATCTACAAACATTTCTTTAAATGGTAGCCTGACAAATGAGGATCTTATTCAGGACGAATGTGAACTTGAGACATATCTCAAAGAAGTTGAACAGCAAAGAAAGTGTGTATTATCCACAAATGTTGATCAACCTTCCAATCTCTTGAGTTCCTTTTGGTCTCATCCTGCTACTCGGAGTCCTGGTGAAGTATCGCCATTGTTAAGAAGATGCGCTTATCAATTGGCACCTACCATAGGTATTACAATCTAAAATTTATTTAATATTATATATGCATATTTCTCTGTAAAAATTTTTTTTAATTATATTGTTATTTAGATAAAACAAAAGCAACCAGTCCTGCTGAGGAAGGAAGTTCTCCTAGAGGTACATTTGGTGCACTAGATGTATGGAGGAAGTATAGAGTTGATCCTAATAAAGTAAACGAATGGACTGCCAATCTTCGAATGGTAAGAATTACAATATAAAAAAAAAAAATTAGTGTTATAAAGAACAAAAGAATTGTCTGATTTAATACTTCAAATATATATATAAAATATTTTAGTGGATTAGCAAGACAGTTGTTGAACGTGTGGCATTGGAGATAGACAATATATGTGCAACATTAGTACGCCATGGTCTAAGCGACTCACAGCCAGGCCATGTAGGTCTGGACAGACTCAGGAAACTTGCACAAGCACAATTTTTGGTCTGTGTGATTCCCACTCTGCCCACATTAGTTCCCTTTCTAGAGCTTTGTAATAATCAGGAGTACCTCGTAAAAAGAATAAAAATACTTGCAAAAGGAGGATCCATGAGCGAATTTAAATGGAACGGTGGTGGATCTCATAATGGTAAAGAATGGGATTCCAGCTTGCCAACGGATTCCGCAGTAAGCATATAGAGAATTATAATTTTTTGTATCTAAGAAAGATTGTAGCTGTCTTCTAGAGATTTTAATCTTTTCCGGTATATTCTATGTTTTTTTGCAGATAATAATGCATTTAATTTCAACCTACATGGACACACAATTGGAAGCGCCTTTGGATCAACCGGATGCCAGGCCATTTACATCGAGATATATGGCGAGATCTGGAATGGAATTGCCTCGAAACAAGGGTCCAATAATAGTCTGTCAATCCATCAATCCACCGCATTACAACTTGGCACTATCCGGCGATTCTCTTCCGAGCGATTACGAGGAAGTACAACGGGTAATTGAAATCTTATCGCAAAAATATATTTATATAGTGTTTATTGTTTTATAATGGTATTTATGTTTTTTTTTTAGGGCCGCAATAATTTGTTTCATACGATCTTACTCTTTTTATACATAGTCAAAACGCGAGATCACGGCATGTTAGGACGAGTCAATGCAGGATCATCTGGAATTAATATCCTGTGGGTCATAGACTATTGAAATAAAATGACTTTTATTTGCTGCTTGATAGACAAAAGAAAAAAAATGATGTGGCCATTGTATGATAAAAATCAAATTTGCATTTATTTATACTGTGTTTAATATTTTGCCTATAATATTTCAATTGTTTGTATATAATGTTGATTTAACAAACGCGACTAAATAAAACTGAATGTTTATATTAAAAAGGTTGGTACATATATTGAATATTATTTATTTTCTTTGCGACTATATTTGAAGATAACAAGTTATAATATTTAATTATGACAAACTTCCCCTCTCTCTTATAATTTTTTACTTAACAAAAACCAACCAGTATATCTCTTCTGCCATTTATAAAATTATTTAAAACTGATAGTTTTTGTTACTAAACATCTATAATCCAATTAAAAGTATATTACTTTCTTTTTTTTTCAAACTGAGGATTGTGAATATCTATGCTAAAGTATAGTTCTATAAATGCGCGTACTGATTGTGTGTGTGTGTAAAGCATTGTTATAAAGTTGTAAATATTACAAAATCATTTAATCATTCCGCCTCTTTCCATAAAAATCCCGAATGATTGTTTTTTCAATTATATCTTCTGACAGGAATATAGAAAGATGAATTAATACATGAATTTCCGTCTTTCTTCTTCATTAATAGGGAGTTTTTGCAATACCGTTTATCCCAGATACGGTGAACGCTAAAGTCACGTTATCCTTTTCTTAATTAGTTGTGAAGAAAAAGATAACGTGATTTTAGCGTTCACTGTATCAGGGATAAAACGGTATTGCAAAAACTCCCTATTATGATCAATTAAGCACTGAATTATACTTAATATGATCAAATAAATCGTCCTTAAATTAACGCAGTTCTCTAATTTATTGTACTCTTTGGATTGTGTTGTAAAATTACAATGGATTTTTCAGGTTGAATCAATATATACAATAAAATCAATATATTAATAAAGTAAATTTAGCAACTCTGACAGCATAAATCACAATATAAGAATATTAGAACAAATATTTTATTTATTACAACAAAAACTAAGTAATAAGAATAAAGATCATACTTCACATATATATATTATATATATATGATAATAGCGTTTATATGATATATTTATACATATGGTTTAGTTTCGCACTAATTTTACAACTGTTACATAGATTTAATATTATGGTTGCACTTGGTTGGATGCTCAAGCGTCTTAAACGCTATTATCATGATTCTTCTTTATCATTCATTAGACGTAAGACGAGGATAAAAGAGCTGAAAGCCGCTCAAACCAAACGCAGTCTTATGTGTAAGACACGTGGCCCATAAGAGCACACATTGCACACATGAAACTTATCTATTATAAAATTTATAATTTACAGAATCGTAGTAATTTTGTTACTAGTTGCTTTCCATGTACACCGATTCTCAGATAATTCTCACTTATGACGTCATCAACTTAGTTGAATGCGCGTTTCTTTTGCATTCTGAGAAGTGCAATTCAACTTAGTTTTTACCTACAAACTGCACAAGATCGAGATCGTGTACTTCATTGAGTCTCGTAGACTCACTTTAAAAGTGAGGTTATGAACCTATGTTGTTATTTGTTAATTTTACCAAAATAAGCAAGTAGTGATGTCATTAATCTGAGTATTTCATACTCAGTTCACTTCAGACTCAGTTTCACTTGTGTGTAAATGAAAAACAACTATTATATGCTTTAAGGCTCCTGAGTAGTTGCGACGGCCATGTTGGAATTGTATCATAGATAAGAAATGAACATTAATTTTTATTGCGTGCAATTTGTAAATAAAGACAATTTGGATAAGTATAAATGACGAGATCGCTTAAAAACACTTGTAAAAATGAGCGGAAACTGTCCTTTCCTCCTTTGATATAGTTAGTAAATGGTCGTAAAGGACACGTAAAATGAGCCTTATATACTCGAACAGAAATACGCAGTTCAACAGTTGATGAATCGAATGAAATATATGCTTTTACGTATAAAATTTCAAGATAACTGTAGTTTCCGCCCATTTTTGGGACTTTCACGAGTACGAGGTAAGTCACATTTTCACAAATAAGCAAATATTAACGAAATGGTATGCAAGAAAAATTTTGTCGTCAAAACGTCACTTTTCCCTGCCTATTAGTTCAGCCTTTTACCATGACGAGACGCTATAACACACACACGAGCCCATGCGTGTTCACCTTCGACCAGAAAATGAGCACATATGGACATAAGAGCTCGTACTTGTGTGTGTAACTACCAGTTTTGCCAGGCCGCCAATTAATTCAGTATCGCTACCATCAACACGGAGTTCTTGGCTGAATACTCAGAAACTTTATAAAAAAAAAAAATAATAATAAATTGTTAGAATTACCAATTAGTAAATTGATTACAAGAAGTGTATTTTAATGATTCTTGTTTGAAGAACTGTTTAATGTTTTAAATATAAAAAAATATGAGGGTTTTAAAATTTTGTGATCTAATTCAAACAATATTACATAACATCGCTTCTTTCTATACTTCTTTCTAGAAGAATCAATAATAACATAATAGTAATGTACATATACAGTATTAATTAAAAATAGATCAGATAATCATAAATTCAGTTTTAAAGAGAATTATAAATCATCATATAATTATAATTATCATGTAATTATATTAATTGTATGTATTATAATAATGTACCGCGTGTTGCATCAACACTAGATTATTTTATATTATAATATCTTTTCTAGCATGTATTGCATTTATATACATACTGACCAATATATTGACACAACACGTAGAACATACACAACATTCATAACATACAATTACACACAATTACACGTCACAATAATCCTTTATTGTAAATATAACTGAAAAGATATCAATACATTTAAAAACTTTCCAAGTTGTTTGAGAATTATTTTTTGAAAATGGAAGTATATTTTATTTAAAAAAAACGAAAAAAGATCTCTCTGGAAGAACAAACTAAGTAAAAATAAATCTAATATTATTTAATACGTTAAGCTTTAAGTATTTAAAAATTATCTTATCCATATTCATGTCTCTTAAGGAAAATCTATATTACATGTACGATACACATTCATGACAAAGATATTTGTCTTTTCCTGTCGTCTCAGGATTTGTCAAAGACGTGTTCACTATTCATTCCCAGTAATATATGCTATTATATGGAAAGATACGTCATACATATATAATACCTTAACTTCCAGACAAATTATGCATATAAATCGTCTAGTAACGCCTTCACCGTTGTAAAAATGAACTTCAATATAACGTTTTATACATATTCACTTAAATTCATATATTTATCGTACCCTTTTTGTCACCTAGTGGAGTATCGGACCCTTTCTTACAATACAAGAAAATCTCTTGATAATGTGGTGAGTTACTCCATTCTGAAGTGCTATTTCAGAATTTTCCATGCATATCGGAATTGTGGGAATGGAAACGATAATCACAAGGTGTCAGAAGAACCAAATTCGTTCAGCTCGTTCACATCATCAAATACCATCAAGATAGTTTTTCACAAGTTGCATGTCCCCCTTCCTTGCCATATTATAATCAAATACGACAAAAATGGCTCAATTAAGAGGTGGTAAATATTTTTGTACCTTCAGGTAATATCACCTCTTCGCCTACATCAGCAAGAGTAACGGTAAGTGGCAGGATTAGAGGCATTAGTATCTCCTGATGCTGCACAACTTGTTGCGTTGTGGTTATCGTAGGGTCAGCCTGTCTCGCTATAGCAATCGTTTTGATGTTTTGCGTCTTGATTACTTGTGCCTGGCCGATCGTGGTTTGATGCAATCTAACTGGATGCGGTTCTGACTGCTGCACATGTATTTGCACTTGCTGTGGCTGATGCTCTTGTTGTTGATGCTGTTGTTGCGATTGCTGTTGTGTCTGCTGGATCACCTGTTGCGCCCGATTTTGATTCTGCAGAAGATTCTGTTTGCAGCGCTTGCTGTGCGCGTAGCGACTGCCATTATTGTTGAACTTTCTGTCGCAAGTTGGACACTCGTAAGGTCGTTGACCCGTATGAATAAACATGTGTTCCTTCAATGATTTCAATCGTCGGAAGTTCTTCGGACAGCACTTACAATGGTACTTAGCTTCGCCAGTATGCGACGTCAGATGATTCGCTAAGGTGTCGGCACGCGCAAACGCTCGTGAACAATATTGGCAAATATACGGACGTTCCTGCGTGTGCGTGCGCATATGCATCTTCAAGTAAGCATTAGTGGTGAATGGCCTGGAGCATACTTCGCATACAAACGGTTTGATACCCTTATGAGCGCGCAGATGCGCTATCAGTGTTGTCGATTGCGTAAAGCTCTTACTGCAAATCTCACAGAGGAATCTTTTCGAGCTATCGGCTTCCTTGTTCTTCTTAAAAGTGCGATCATGCTTAGGTAGATGATTGTTGAGCTGCTCCTCCTTGATGAAGCGCTTGGAGCAACGGGTGCACTTATATGGTTTAATCATGTTGTGCTTTGCTACGTGAATCTTCAGGTGTTCCCGCCGATAGAATTTCTTTGGACACATTTCGCACAAGTACTTCTTGCCCTCGTGAATCTGAATGTGTCGCAACAAGCCCTTCCTGGATGTATATCGTTTCTTGCATTCGACACACTCGAGCCCCACAATATCGGTCCTCCTCTTACGAGGCATTCTATCCCGTATTCTCTTTTCTTCAGGCTCGATGTCTATCAGATCCTCCTCCGTTAGGATACCCTCAGTGACGTGCTTGATCCTATGCTCGCGCAGAATCTTATTGTTTTCAAAACTGTCGCCACAGATGTTACACTTCCTCACCTGATTGGGATTCTTTTCCGAGCACTTATCATAGTGCACCTTCAGTTTATCTTTGCGATAGAATTTAACATTGCAGATATCACATTCAAAATTTGGCTCCTCATGTAATAGTTGATGGCGCAGTAACGACTTTTTCGTACTGTATTTCTTCTTGCACGTGGTGCATTCGTGGTTGTCCATTGGCCAATCAAGACCACTCTCAAAGTCGGAGTCGTCATTGTTATCGCCCTTGTTTTTCTGTTTTTCCACTGTTTTCTCTGCTTTCTCCTCCTTTACATGCTGCTCCATGTGCTTCGTCAACGCTTGCTTTGAGTTAAAGTTCTTGTTACAGGTCGCACACACGAATTCCTTTGCACTGCGCTTACGTTGATAGTACCTATCCAATTGAGTAAAATCGTACTCTGTATTATCATCGTCATCATCGTCGTAGTCTTCGAGTCCGTCCTCAATCTTGATCTTGTCGATAATTTTTTGTGCTGCTGTCGCTGCCATGCGCTTTATACGCTTATTGGGATCGTATTCCTGCCCCTGTATAAATGTCTTGTGATTTGTGGCGATCAAGTGATTTCTCAACGTAAGCTCGTTACCGAAACTCTTGTTACATTGGGTGCATTTGTAATTCTTCAGTCGTGCATGCTGCTCAGCATGCCTGCGTAGGAAATCCTTCCGTGTAAATTTTTGATAGCATATCTTGCATTTGTAAGAATAGGATTGTGTTGTCTCTATATGTCTGGAGAGCGCTTTCTTGTTCTCTGTACTTTTGATGTTTTTGGTGTTTTCATTATTGTCCTTGATGTTCTGGGCCATTTGCTTCATATCTTCTTCCAAATCTTGCTCAGTGAATATATCTTGGATCACGTGCTTCGTTCGGTGATTTTTTAGTTGTTCTAGAGTTTCGTATTCCTCGTCACACACACTGCACGTGAAGTTAACATGCGTCAATGAATGATTTTGCAAACCTTGCTTTGTATCGAATTTTTCTGGACATTTGTCATATGTAAATTCTTCAATAAGATTAAACTTTTTTCTCTTGTTCTGATCGTTGTCGCTCGCGACGGCTGTACTTTCTCTTTTCCGTTTCTCACATTCAACATTGGATTTGTTGTCGTTATCAGAGTCTAGATTGTGCTCCTCTCCTTCAAACGATATCTCGATAAATATCGGATCTTCATTCGTTTCCTGCTGCTCTCGTTCATGTTGCTTACCATGTTTAGCAAGCGGAATTGTTTTCAGATGCTCTCGCTCATGTTGTTTAATGTGTTTATTAAATGAGATTATGTACTGATATTCTTTACCACAATAAGGGCACTTGTTGGCTTTCCTTCCTGACGACGGCGTTGGCACGACTGGAAGGCACGTCCGCGATTTCTTCAGCATTTTCTTCACAGACAATGTTCTCCTTACTTCTTCATGGGACTGCATATGCTGTTTCAGAACGCACTTTGAGAGGAACTGTTCATCGCACAAGTAACATATGAAAAAAAACTTTTCTGCCTTATTTGCCTGCGCTTTTTTCAATCGCGAACTAAGATTTAGATTTTCAAAGTAATTCTCCTCATCGGAATCTCGTTCGGCAAGTGTTCGACGAGCCAATCGTTTACTTCTTCTAGTTTCATTCTGGGGTAATTCTTGTCTCACCACTGGTACACTTGTCTCATCATTAGTATCATCTTTGGATACTTCTGTCTGTAATAATTCCATTTCGTCATTTTGATTTTGTTTAGCTTGACTCTCTTGCTTATCTTCAGATTTTTCTACTCGAGACTCTTCATTTTGTTCAGCCAAAGTCTCGTAGATTTGCTGAGTTAGAATTTCTTGATTTTGTTCAGCTTGAATTTCTTGGTTTTGCTCAGACTGATTTTCTTGATTTTGTTCAGATAGTGACTCTTCGTATTTCACTGTATCATGTTTCAATTCTGATACATCCTCCTCCTGTATTTTTTTATGGAAGGAGAATTGATCAGTATGAAATATAATACATTGTTGTTGCATTATAAAATTATGTCCTTCCGTTGAAACCGTATCTGTACAATTTTGAATGTTCTTCTCATCGGAAAGTACTTCATCCCTAGATTCATCGATAGCATCTGATATATCATTGCCTTCCGAACTAGCTAATTCTTGCTGCAATTGTTCCTCGATACTTTCTTGCAAGCTATCTTGTTCTGCATCTAAACAATAGAATCAATATTATAAAATATTTGGAAATTTTAAACTATTGTATATAAAAAAAACCAGTATTTAATTCAAATTTTAAAATATAATCATGTCATTGATTACATTTTACTCACCTTGTTGCATCTCACCTGTCTCTGCCAATTTTTCAGCTTCCAAAATTATTAATTGATTTTTCAGAAAGTTCTTGTCAGTTTCTGTCTCAACTGGCAGTGTACCAGTAGACCCATAATCAGCACTGTCATTTATCTCTTCCAAACCATTATTCTTCTCAGCATGCAAGTGCATATCAACCTCATTAAGAAACAAATCATCCTTCATTCTTCCCATAAACTTTTCTCGGAGAACATTGTTAGCTTGCTCTACTTGTAACTTAAGCTCGTATGCCGACTCCAACTTGTCAGCGCACATACAACACACCTGTGTTGGTAAACCGTCGCCTGGTAACATCTAATCAAAGCATATAGTTTAGTATATCTCGAAAGAAAATCTTTGACATTGGTTGTACTAAAAAAGAATCAAATCATTTCAAAATATTACAATTGCCATCTTTGATGCTATGCACATTATGAGTGATGTGTACATTTTTACTTGCATGCATCAGTCCTGATCATAACAAATAATCATTTTATATATATATATATATATATATATGATTATTTGATTATTACATGCATAGTTCTATATGGCATTTGAAAAAGTATTAGTCTTATTCATTTTATATGAACTTCTTGTTTATTTTCTCCAATGTGAAGGGACAAGTAGGAAAGATAAACTATGCAAAAAATTCAATTAAAAAGAACAGATCTCTTGTGTATAATGTTTTTATGATGACAGTGAAGGTGTTGAAGGCTAAATGTGCAAAGTTCTATATAAACCAAAACTTGATCATTTCAAATCGAATAAAAAGATGGGAATGGCGACAAATTGGAGGATCATGAACGAGAGGTCTAAATCTATCAGGGATTAAAAGAGAGAGAGCAATGATAAGAGTGAAGGCTCGGGGTAACATCGGTATCTAACCTTCAAATTGTGCATCTAACCTTAACGTTGGCAAAGCTCATCGCCTTCGCCGATAGAGATGCGACCTCGCTCTCTGCGAAGAGATCACGCATCATCAGATTGTCGAGCAGGCAGACGCGGCATATCTTCATAGCGGACGCGATCGCGTCCTCGCCCTGCGGCGGACTCGATGTACGTATCGCCACGGCGTCCATGTTTCGCTCGACGAACTGACTTGAACCGATGTAAAAACGAATTGATCTGCTCGACGTTTTTTCTCGCTGGACCAGCACACCGTCTTCTTTCACCCACCACTAACTAGGAGGTACGGAAAAATATGATTTTCTTTATTACATCGTTTGCGTTTCAACATAACGAGAAGTCGATACGTTCAGACGTGTGAAGGCTATTCTCGGTAACTGCACTATATCGACATATCGTACTTTCTGCACTTGAAACGAAATGGGAGTACAATTTAGATGTTAGAGAGAAAGAGAGAGAGAGAGAGAAAGGAAAGGTGGAAAGTGCGAGGAATACAGCTACAAAGAGCAACCATACGTTCTCGGCTAAAAAAAAAAAAAAAAAAAAAAAAAAAAAAACCTATTAGGTAAGTAGCAAGATTATCCAATCACGTGCGCGGATTACCAGATTTACTTAACAGATAAACTTTACCGAAAGATGAAACAATCGATAAGAATCGCGAGAAACTTGCAAATTGCGAAAATCGTAATTTCTTTCTCTGCAATTTTAATTTATTTATTGATTCTATAGTTTTAGTAACTTCTGGAGATTTACGAAAGCTATCTCACTTCTCACTCTTCAGTGAACATATGAATCTAGTAATATTTATTTATTTCTAGGAGATCTTTAGTAACTTCTGGCGATCTCGTATCCGTCCGCATTTGAAAAGGAAGAAACAAAAGAAAGTTTCTTTTTTCGAATGTTTCAACTTCTTTTATGTCGTAATAAAAATTCTGAGTGAAATTTAACATAAATTAACATTGTAATTTAGACCTTATTAATGTAATTATTATATAATGATACATGTAATCGATATAACTCACTTATAATTATACATTGATGTAACCATCATCTTAAATGCTATCAATTAAAAATTGTATTAATACTTAAGGTTCAACATTTAAAAAAACTCATAGTCCTTCCTTATAATTAAGATGTTTTAAGTATAATCTTAAGATGTCAAATCGATGACAGAGAGTCGTATTAGCACTTTAAAATATCATCTTAAAACGATCTTAAAATAAAAATGAACTACAAATATCTAGCCTCAGGTTCTGGTTTCACTAATTCTGATTAACTTAATCGACCGATCAAATATTGTCAGTTGCAAAACTTGAAAACATCCTTTTCTGGCGGGACGTCGAGTATTTATGTGCTTGCGATTTGTTTAGGTTTTTCGCGATTGAGAAATTTGCGATTAATAAGGATTTGTGTTTTTATAATCACGTTAATCTTCGCAGCTGTCAGAAAATTAAATTATGTTTTCAGTATTGTTGTTGGCAATATTTAATCGATCAATTAACTTAATCGGAGTTGGCGAGACCCGGCTCATACTCTTTCTTTATACCTCATGTTTCTCCGAGGTTGACTTTTGTATCTTATTGTCTGGAGATCGAACGCTATTGAGTTTTTGACACGATTCCATGATTAAGGACGCATCACCGCCACCAGATATGGCACATTCACTCATCTTCTCTGTTATCACAGATTTACTCAAACAACTTTCCGTTTCTGGTCTTACAGTTTGACATAGTTTTTCTACGATATTGATAACCGATTCCTTGTTCACGCTTCCCGAAGATACATTTTCTACTTTTGAGAATTGGCACGAAGAGAACGTTGCATTTTCCGTAGACGACGAAGTTATCTTCTCTAAAGCAGCTGAAATGGCTTCCAATATAATCACAGTTTTTATTTAATATCTCTTCAAGTATAATGCATTACCTGTTAAATCCATGCTTTCTTCGGCTATATCAAAGTCGACATGAATACTAAAGCTATCTCTGCTAAAAAGATGTTGTCTAATGCTAGATAGATTCCTAAGAAACATCTCATTTTTAACAGCTGCTTCTGTTAAGTTCTTGTTTTTATTGGGTGTGTACATGATGGAGTGCTCACTACGCAATGTACGACCGTTCTTTATGTAAGGTATCAAATATGATAGATCCGACGGTTTCTGCACTGTACTGTTTGCCGTTTGAATGGACACTTGTGGTTTATGCATTTTTACTAAAACACAGATAAGACTTGGTTTGAAACAGGTATAAACAACATATATGGAGAGTATATACAAATTCTCACAAACCTGTATAGGGTGTTCTAATATAAACTAGACTATTTTCATCGCGCGGCAAACCATAAATTGTCGATGAAAAGTTCATGACATTTGATACGCTGCCTGTAACACATGCATAATTTCATTAGCTTGTTTTTTCCCTGACAGTGTATTATTTGCCTACTTGCATAGTACTAAAGAGTAGTGCGTTTTAGTAAACATCATTGAACATTATCTACCATGACTGGAATCTCCTTGACTTCTCACAGATTTTTCACGCGTCGTATTGTTCATAATTATAGCTAAAACAGGCTGTAATCTTTGAACGACATTCAATATTAATTCACATCGTTTTATCACTCGCAATTGTTGAGGCTCTGTTGCGTTCTCCACCAGAAGAGTTTTGGCAGCAGCGTTGGCTTCAAATATAGCTATAAAAGAGTTATATGTATATATATTCCAGTAAACTATACGTTTTAATTGTAAAAATACATTTAATCGTAATAACACAGAATCAATCACCTGCTTTCAATTCTCTCGTCATCATTATTGTTTGACGATCAATGTTTTCAGTGCCAATGTCATTTACAATCGCTGTAACTTGACTAGACAAAGCTGAAGCACGCTGAACGATACCTTGCACTTGAAGTTGCGTTACTGGCTCTCTGTTATCTAGACAATCTGAGATTGCCGTTATACGTTCTTGAAGACTATCCATAACTACCTGAGTAAAAAATACATTCAAGTACGCTCTTAAAATTCTTAAAATCCTTTATAATCCATTATATTTACTTGACAGAAAGCAGCAGAATTTATAATGAGATTTACAGCATTCTGAAACTTATTCATCTCTAACTGCCATTGCGTAGTCAATAATTTAACACTCGAACGCATTTCTTTATTATCTGGATGCAAATAGAAGGAAGTTATAGCAGAAATTAATTCAGTTTCTAAGGATTCAAATCCTGCGAGGCAATTACGAATTTTGTTATTTCCTGAAATAATAAAATTTTTAGATGTTTTTCATAATTTAAAAAGAATGTTAAAAAATTTATAAAGAAGGGCAACTTACGATTCTTGTCTTTGCAACAAGCAATTGCAAATATTCCAATTTGTATAGTTTGATCAAAGAATTGGTCAAAATCTTCTATAAGATTATTTAAATCACTCTTCGACCTTCTTTTTGCGCTTAATGAATTTCCGCACGTCATAACGAGTTTTTTCAAAGTAATGTAAGGATTACTGAATACTTCCATTGCGAGCGTTAGTACCGCTATATTGACTTTACGTTCCAAACGATAAAGAGCGTCGGTTAAGGTATGCATAAACAAGTTATTTAACGCCGGATCTGGAGTCTCCGAGAATAATTGTTGTTTTAATTTTTCATATTCCAACACTATAGATTGGCATGAACCAGTTATGGCTTTAAAATTATATGGCTGACACACTTGAGTAATTGCCATAGCATGAGAGAAGACATCTTCCAGTCTCAACCACAGCTCTGTGCATTCAGACAGCTGCTCTTCATGCATTTTGCTTGGTATTTCTAATATAACGTCTAATACCAAATCCATTCTACAAGTATACCATATCAAAATTACTTGTGTGAATGCAATATTAAGTATAAAAAATATTAATTTTTTCACCTGTAAACGAAATGATTCTCTCTCTCGCAAGTTTCCTTTTCCAGCGATGGATTTGAATCATTCATCAAGTTCAATATCATTTCACAGCAAGTGCATATTCTTTCACAAACATATTTCTTGCAAGCCTGTACATATTTATTCAATATAGAAGGAGCTTAAATTAAGAAACAAATGTAAAATATATAGTTCATTACATAAATTGGTGCATTTAACTGATGCTGTTCCTGAGCTAGTTGTACTAGCATTTCAAATGATATGCACAATTGAGAAATATATAAAGCTAAATTCTGTGACAGAAAAGCAGACACTAAACTTTTTCTGTAATTCTGTAGTGGTTCGAGTATCTCTAGTATCGAAGTACCTAATTCCTAGTTTAAGAGTACAAAGAGAAAACTTAATATTCAAAGTAAAAGATTTCAATACATATTTCAATATTTTATCTCATTGTTACTTTTATGTTTTGAAGATCCTCAATCTCATTTGCTGTGCTCATTTCTTTAACATAATCCAGACAATCCTGAAGTCTCTGTTTCAATGGTAAACATTCTAAATCTTCCAACGCTTGTAAAGCTGATATAAAATTATTAAGCAATGATTCCATTTTATATCTGGCTGTATTGCTATCAATATTATCGCATTTAATATCCTTAATCTAACAAAGATAATAAAAAACAAATGTAAACAAATGAAACTCATTTAATAGAAATAAAAGCGATATCAAAAATTACAAGATTCTTCTGCAACTTACATGTTCCTCAACATTTTTCAATAGAGAAGTATATTTCAAATTTGTTACTGTCTCAGCAAATTTTACATTTGCCTCTTCACAGTCGCAATTATCATCGCTTAAATTATTGAATCTCTGAGTTAAAAGATGCAGTTGCTCGTGGAGTAATGATTTTGTGACTAAAATTTCTGACGGATTAATAGAAGCAGTAGTCAGCAATAAATACAATTTGTTTATCTAAAAAGAGAATAAGAAGTAATTGTGACTTTCATTCTCAAGCAATGAATTAACTACAGTCTCTATAATTTTTATATTTTGAAACGCAAAATTTCCGTGCAATCTGCAATTTTTCATAGCTGGTTTTATTGAATGTACAACTACTAAATCGATCGAAAATAAGAAACTTGATTACTTGTTGCTCCAAAAGCTCCAACAACTTCTTCGTTTGTCTCGTCTTCAATTCCATCGTAAAATTTTATCTTTTGATTTCCACGGCTTCTTGAAACTTCAAAATTCATACGTCTCAACGGTGGAATGTAAATAAAGTGAATTTAGTTACTAACCAGAGCATGGCAACCAACCTCTGGCGCTAATGTCACGGGGGAAATATCTGTTCCTTGTGCACTAGAGCTACGTGGAGCTACGCTTTCTGCACCTAAAACAGTAATCATCATGGGTTTAATTAGGATTTAAGAAAGAAGAGGAAAAGGACGAAGAAAGGACTAAAAAAATTCAAAGAATGGAATCTGTGAATTAACTCGATCATATCTAACCTAATCTAATTTTTTAAAATATAATCTGACGTAAGACGAGACGCGTGAAACAGAAAGAATCGCGTGGAGCAGTGCAAATTTCTTTGACATCTATCTTTTTTCTTCTTTTTTTTGGCGAACAGAGATTTTAAAATAAAATCTCCACAGTTTCGAGTTTACTATTTTTCAAAATGTTCTCCAGAGACAGAAAAGGCGAGATGAATATTGACGTGATATTGGACGAACCATTGACTAGCGATTCATGCACAAAAGTTGTGATAGAGCTCATGAAATATATTCTGTATCAAAAGCAGCAGATACCGTTCACATATGAGGCACTAGCTCAGTTCCAGACGAGTGTAAAAACGACAGATAGGAACGCGGTCTCCTTCAGGACTCTATCGAGCACACTGAAGAACGTTTCGGATCATTTATCCTCGCAATTCTTCCTCAAGGGTTGTGATATAAAGGAAATTGCCATAATACTTGGCGCTACAATACTATCACCAAAGCTCTACATTAGCATAGAGCTTCCTTCATATGTTCTCAACAGCAAGCAGCACAAAGAGTATCAACATTCCTCTAGGAAACCGCTTTTGAAACTTATGAGGTTAATAAAGAAATATAATGATAGAATATGCTTATGAATTAAACACTTATATATGTTATTGTATTTGTAGGTCTATGTTGGAATGTGATGAGTTTCAGAAGGCTATGAATGCTCCTTTAAACATGACAAACATGTTTATTATGCTGAAGAAGAGCGACAATAACTCAGTATCTGATTTCTTTTTACCTAAACCACAATATGTCCCACCTCTACAAATGGCAAGTTGCTTCAAAATTAAACTATGTCAGAGTGATCAAGTAGAGATGAAGTGCAACTGTAGGACACTTGTTAAAATATATCATGACTCGTGTAAGACTTATTTGGAGAATGAAGATGATGTGCAATATACTCAGTATAACAATTCCACTCAGTCTTCCTATCGATGGTATCAATCAAAACAAATCATAAAAGGATTTAAATTTTATTCGTGACCATAACTTTGTAGCATGGCAATTATAGCAGAATTCAAAATTTTTATAGATTAGGATTATCAATTTTTTTCTAAGATGTTATAAATAGATTTATATTACATATTCATATTATATAATTAAGATTAACGAGACAATATTAAGCGCTACTGATATATATATATATATATTTTTACTGCTGACATTGCATTGATGTCAGTATGACTTGACAAATGTCTTGAGGTCATATGATAGAAATTTCCATTCACTATCAGAGGGAGCAAGACAGTATTTTTTTTCATCAACATACAACAAACATGATAAGTCTTATATAAAATTATGTAATAAAAATTACAGTGTAAAATTATGTAACAATAGATTTTTTATTAGTAGATAATTATAATCAAATGAACAAGATAAGAATGTTATTGCTTATTTTATTATAGAAAAAATTTTGTAATTGCTGCGGATATTTTATATTGTATACATAATTATAATGTTAAATAATATTTTTACCTTTTATCAAGTTGTCATTAATTGTTATACCATTAATCTATCTTATAAGTTATGCAATTATTAAGAAATCTTGCAAAAGGATAAGAAATATACAAAATGATGTTTAGGCAACAATGATTGTACATAAATTTATACTTTTTATCGCATACAGATAATCCCTTCCAAAGAAACATTTTTGGAGTAGGGCAAATCATATATCAATCCTTGTTGCGAGATGCAACATTTCATTATTTAACTTTGAAAGAGAGAAATTATTAACATCTCGTAAGAAAAATTTAAATTTTTACAATTGAAAATGGTTGGTTTGAAAGTTTTAACGTCGGAACAGAAGCAATTCTGGAAGGATAATGGTTACATCAAGTTATCGAATGTATTTTCTACAAAAGAAATAAACGAGATATCGGATGCCTACAATGAATTGTTTGAAAGAAAATATCGTGAAAATCTGGCTGGTTTGGAGTCAAGATGGGCCGGAGAAGATATGAAGAAATTAGCTGGAAGCATTGCTGAAGATTATACTGTAAGTACACTTATTGCAACTATTTTGTAAAAATCGACTTATTATAGGCAATTTATTATTCGTAGATTAGAATTACATACATATATATATACAAGATGATTTTAAGAAATGCACTCGAATATCTTTGAAACTAAGAATTGAATGCGAGATATTGAACCTGGTTCAAAACAAAGTTTATCTGTGTTTGACTTTAATGCCTCTATCAAAGATTACGTGATTCGGATAGATTTAAGTACATTGATTAAAACTGTGTATTGTAAACCTTGTATATATGTATATTGTATTACACTATATTGTACATATTCTCATTTATGCATCAGGTAAAATCTATCCACAATCTGCAAATGCACAGCGAAGTCTTTACTCGGACCATAACGCACCCGAAATTATTGGACGTCCTTGAGGATATCATGGACACCAACGACATAGTGTTGCATCATACCAAGGCGCACGTAAAGCCACCAGAGAAAGGATCACCTTACTTGATGCATCAAGACTATCCTTATTTTCCCCACAAGAAACACACTATGCTAGCTGTGTTTCTACATTTGGACGATACAACGCCGGAAAATGGCGGCTTGGCGGTATATCCTGGCAGTCATAAACTGGGGCCGTTGAAGGACTTTAAAGTGACCGATGAAAGAGGTGATCCTATTCACTACGTCGATCCTAAGGAATATCCCTTATCCAAAGCTATTCCCATATCTGCGAAAAAGGGTGAAGTTGTCTTCTTCTCTTATCTACTACTTCACGGTTCGTATCTGAACTTGTCTGATAGAAGTCGACGCATGTTTCTCATGCAAGTGAAAGCTGCTGATGATGAACCGACCCTGGACGTGCACAATTCCCCATGCCAAGGCTTGATGCTTCGCGGTAAAAATATTTTCAAAGACGCATTGATGAGCAACAGATATAAATATTAATCGAACATAAGTAAATATTTACTCTACTTTTAAATCTAATTGAATGAATGAAGAATGTTTTGACTAAGCTCTCTTTAACATGTATAAATATATATATTCAATTATTTTTTTATTCAACAATTTTCCTATTGCTGTATCCTGCTTTTTCTTCTTAAACTTTATTTTAATCTTGCCGAATTTCAAGAATTTTTCTGAAATTATTGATTGATATGTCATAAATTATTTTAATGAAGTATCCCTATCTTCAATACATAAATCATTTTGCGTACATCACATTTATCGCAAGAATCTAAAGAGATATAATTATCATATATTCATTGCAATATAAAGCATTTCCTTCAAAAATAATTAATATAAATAATTGTTACACTTTCTTTTGTCGTTTGGGGGCGTTTTACCCCCAAAAGTGGAGATATTTATCAAATGTTTCGTGTTTTTCCATTTTATTCACATTACGTTACAACACACATAATATCGTAACTGCAAGAAAAAAATTAAAGAACAGCGTGGGAAGGATGATTCTTGATGAAAGTTTATGTAAATATTGATTGTTTTTTTTTTCAAATAATATCTTCAACATACAGTCGTCTATTTTATTTTTATTGTTAATATAATTTACATTCTGATGGCGCTTTTCTCATACATGGAGCACAATTATTTGTGGAAGAGAAAAAAAAGACTTATTGTAAGTTTTCAAATCTGCAGTGATTCTTATTTATGGTTACAATTAGCAACAACAATATTGTCGATGGCATTTAATTAAACTGCGACATAAAGATACTCGTCTGTTCCGGATAGCGAATGTCGTCCAGAAAAGACAAACTTTTCTTTTACTGAAGAATGTAGACGGAGATTGCGAAAATACAAAAGATACATCCGTAATGTATAAAATAAAATAACGCTGAATATTATATAGATAAAAAAAGGGAAAAAGAACGGAAAGAGGGGCTTGTTGAATCGCGATCGCGCCGATACGAATTTCGCGCGCGTTCCTAATTCACATCGCGAGATAGGAGTCGAACGGGTGGAACGAGCGGAATATTCCGCGATTTTACATGAATGAGGCGAAACGCGAGCATTTCGGCAAAGTGGAAGGGAGAGAAGAAGCGGAAGAGAGAGATAGAAAGGGCTCGTGGACGCAACTTTTACCGAGGTAGACGCCGCGATTTCGCGAGGGGAAACGGAAACGCTTCAGTACAACCGAACGAAATCGCATACCTCACGAATCTCCGGTCGAAATCGCGAAAATCATGAGAAGTGGAGGGGGGGGGGAAGAGGGACGCGAGGAACGCGTGGAACGTGAACCGCCACCGCCACTAGTGTTGTCGACGAGAAGGGTCGACACCGTCGACTCAAGGAGGTGATCGGAGTACGTCCACGCTCTTTTTCTCTCCCCACCCTCCCCCCGCGGACGGTACGGGGGCCGTGAGGATCGCGCGAGCGAAACGGACGGCTGGACGGCTGGTGTGATCTGCGACTCGCGTGCTCGTGGATACCGGAGGCCTGTGCCGGTGACGGACGCGCGGACTGCTCGTGGGGTGTAGTGAAACACATGTGTCGCGGCCGTGCGGTGTTTTCCACCGCCGCGGACTGCTGCCCGTCGCCGTACCGTCCCGCAGGCTGCGCGAGGTTTCGGGCATCCGTTCCCGCAGACCACTACCAGGTACACCAGGACGATGCGCCGCGCTCCGGCGGTGGCGGAGTAGCCAGCAAAAGCGGAAGGCGGTAGTGCGTGCGTGGGTGGGTGGGTGTCTGGCGACCGCCAACACTCACGGGATTTCTCCGTGCGCTCCGTGAATGCGTGCCGTCGCGGTCGAACTGATACCATAATCGCGCCGTCCGACGCCTGCGGTGTCGACTCATCCGGAGTAACCCGGCGTCAATCGCCGCCGCTATACACGCCGCGCACGTTGTATTCCCTGAGTAGAAGAGGAAGAAAAAAAAAAAATGAGATATGTCGCCCCTCCGTCTGGAGCGCGTTTGACACTGCTACCCGCGCGCTGCTGACTCCACTGATACGATGACACTGCGACCGAGTCAACGACTGATCACCCTGGAGAACGGTCACGCACTCCTGCCTCCTATGTGCCTCGCCAGGGAATAAACGGGCACGACCGAGCCAAACCTGTGTGTGTCTGTCAGCCATCATGATCGCCCGCGAGTCATGACTTCTGTGCTCCACGATTTCTGACGTCCCGCCCAAGTGGCATGAGTTTCGACCGCTTGTCCACGTGCCTCAGACTTTTTTTTTTTTGTAAATTGTCAGGTCCTCGGTCCTTTTGTCGGAGGATAGAGAAAGAAGATTTCTAGAGTATGAGGATGTTCCTCGCCACTGAGTCCAAACGCTGCGACGTTTCAGGTTTAACTACTATCTGAGAGAAAGCCAACAAGTTCTGTTATATCCTGCTGTGTCGCACGTTGGGAAGTCCAAGTATGAGAGGTCCAGCGGAGGAAAATGGATACCGGTAAAGTATCAGCATGCGCGAAAAGTCAGCAGAATGTCATGCTCACGCAGGTCACGTGAGGGGCACGACAGAGATGTGCTCGCGTGATCCACCTACATTGCACCCGACCCTCGCCAAGGCAAATGGTAAAAATTCAAGTCCCCAGCCAGCTCATCATACGGAGACACAACGCATCGACAGCAATCTGCTGCCAACTCCTGGAGGTCGCTTGAAATTCTTCAAAGATGGAAAGTTCATTCTGGAACTGTCTCATCGCAGGGACGGAGAAAAGACTACATGGTTTCCCGTGCCAAAGAAAACCTTTTGGCCACCTGCTAGTACCATCCCGAATCGGCAGGAGAGCTCTACTTCCCTCAGTGGTGGGTCAAAGGAAGCATCGCGCACGATGCATGTTATAGTCTTTTTATTTTTCACTATTTTTTACATACATTTATTATATTTTCGAAAATAGATTTATTTATTATCTTATTTGACTAGAAACTTAGACAGAACTACGAAGACGAATTAATTTGATCAAAATTGTAATTTTGTACTTTATATTTTATGTAACATTGAAAATGACCTGATCGGAGTTGAAATGTTTGTTTTTATAATTTTCATATCATGAGGGTTTGAATTAAAGTTATTCATTAAACTACTTGGTTCTTTGCCCCCCCCCCCC